ATAAAGGCGCGGCATTTATCCCCTGCGGTCACACTTTTTGTAGGCTCTGTTCAAGAGAGCTTTGGGTGAGCAGAGGGAACTGTCCGCTTTGCAATGGCTTCATCTTGGAGATTCTTGACATCTTCTAATTCCCAAATTTTTTATTACTTAATTTTATCACAAAATTTTTCCTTCTTTATTTTAATGTCTTATTAAAATATTTTGTGCATATTATTTTGAATGAACCATATATTTCAAGTCCTCTTTTTTCCAACCTCATATTATCTGTCTTTTTTCTCATTTGGTTGTTTGTGTTTGGCAGTGTGGAAATTGAAAATGATGTTTTTAAATTCATACAAAATCAAATCAAATTTCTTTCCTTTTTCTTTTAAAATGGGGTTTGGAAGTTAAAGACAATATTGACAAATTTGCATAATTTTGGGAGGTTTAGAATTAATCTCTCACTCTCTGCCTCCACCATAACTTATACCTAACATTTTAGGTTCATGATTCAGACAATAATTTGAAATTTAGACTCCATGTGAGGTGGAGATCGAACTCACAATCCCTTGATTGCTTTTGGCAACTGCTTATGAGTAATTTTCTAATTTAGTTTTAAAGGATATTAATTTCATCATTCAATTTTATAGTTTAATTTACAAAGTTTAGAGTTAAAATTAAATATTCAATATGATTCTAGAAACAAAGATTAAATTTTTTTTGTAATACTAGATAAATGTATATAGTTATTTTTTGAATTAAAATAGAGAGAATATTAATTTTTACCTTTAAACTCTACTTTGAGTCCACTTTTACCTCAAATTTTACCTTAAAAAAAATTGCCCCAATTTTTCAATTTGATCAAATTAAACATAGCTTTAGATAAATGTTGCAAATTTTACCTTTATCAAGCCCATGAATTTTAACTAAAATCAAGCTCTAACAAATATATGCACTGTTTGCGACTAAAGTCCTACCGATGAATTTTAATTGAGGTAAGGATGGTTGGAAATACGATTAAAGTGAGACGTTCTGAGTGATAGGTCATGGATTATGTCTAAAATGGATAATATTATATAAATAGAGATGTGGGTGACTCTTTTAAGAGGAGGGCTGGATGGTCATTTGTCCGCAACATGCATAAAACCAACCAACCATTTAATTAATTTTCTCAAACTCACAGATTTCAATAAAAAAAATAGTAATAAATATAACTTCAGTATCATCTCTCTAAAATCTCCATCTTACTGTATCTTTATTTGCAAACTATTTAACATGTGAGAATAGTTTCTAATAAATCCATAAAACAAAGGTCTAACAGAAAGCTGTTATTTGAGATTCATTATTCTATTGGATGAAATTGAAAGTTTAAGGTAAAAATTGAGAGACGTGGAAATTAAAATTCTTTTTTTTTTTCGGTAAAAGCAAATGTGTGGTAGGTTTAAAAGAGAATTCAATCCAAGATTTTATAATTTGTAAAGGAAATCATGAAACAACATATGGTTTCATGTGTAGGATTCTTTAAAGCATTATTGGCTGCAAATTGCAATCATGATGTCAAGTTCCAAATTAGAGTTATCAATGAACAACTTCATGTATGACTCAGAATCTAGGCAAAATCAGGGTTTAATTAAATTGATTTCTAGAATCATTTTTCCATTTTGAGACATTAATAAAAATCTAATATAGTGTCTCACGAAGGCCGAGTCTGACTAGGAGACGCGTCGTCATTAAAACAATAATTCAACTCTGCTCACGTCCCTTATGGAGGAAGTTCGGACGCAAAAGAACGCTGAATAATTATAACTTTGTAAAACTGTTGTCGAACTATCATTCCCCGCCTCATAGTGTCTCTCTCGCCTTAAATTTCGAAAGTAACCGTTGAGGTGGGCAAATCATTCCAACGATTATCTCTTTCAAATAAATACCAAGAAGGTGAAATAGGGAGGTAGGCAGATTTTTGAATTGAGAACTTTTACTCTCTAGAACTCAATATTGACAAAAGTTTTGGAGTGGTAACTCCGATCATCTTCAAATATTTTCGAGGATATTAATGCTTTCGACAAAAGTAACATTGCCAGACATGATCATACTTTAAGTTATTTACGCTCTAGAAGCGGAAGTTGAAACCTCCGCTTCCCTATTAAACTAGTAAAAGAAAATCTATTTGGGTAAATTAAACAATTATTCTAGGGCCATTTCGACCTATTTACGAAAGTTTGGGAATTGGTTTGAAACCTCACATACAAAAAATGAAGTACGTTCTGTTGGTGATTTGAAAATATAAATATGAAAACAAGAGGTTCAATAAAAACCAAGTTTGAAAAAACCAAAAACAAGAATTAATTACTAAACAACAAACAAGAAATAGTAACCAAACTCAATTTTGTTTTCCTTTATTAACAAAGAGTAAACGAAGAAATAAGAGCATGAAACAAGAAACAAGAAACGATGACATAACTAAATGAGTTTTTAATGTTTATTTCCTTAAATCTATTAGAGATCCATAAATGAATCAAATTTACTCAACTCAAGCTTTTGAGTTAAGTGGTGGTTTATCCATCCTTAACATAGTATTAGAGTCCAACAAACTCAAACGAGCATCTGGTCCAAAAATGGGATCCGATCATCGATAAGCCAAGAGAGTCATGATCTTGAGGGGCATGTTAAGGATCCCACCTTGAAAATAAAAGAGAACTTATAATGATTTACCATAGATATGACTGCTCCACTCATAACCAATTAGTTTTAAGATGAAACCTCATGAATATTGATAAAATTGACTAGGAAGGTGTATTTAATGCATGACTTAGTTTCTTTTTCAATAAAAAATTTAAAGTAATATACTATCAGGTCACACACAATATTTTGTTTTCCCTTTCTCGTGCACAAGCGAGCTTCTGCTTAAGCTTTCTCTTTCACATCTTTAAGAGCTGCTTCTACTTTATCTAATCAGATTGAGTCTATTTTATCTTTGGTTTTATCTTTCACTTCTTTAAGAGCTTGTTCTACTTTCTCTATTGCTTTCTTTGATCGGGGGTGTCCCTTGGCAACGCCTGCTTTCTCTTGTGCTCGCTTAAGAGTTGCTTTTACTCTTTCTTTCTCTTTCAAGGTCATGTTGGATCATATCTCCTTCGCTTCCTTAAAAGTTGCTTCTGCTTTCTCTCTCGCTTTTTGATATTTGCTTCCTTATCTTTCGTTGCTATTCCACTGTCAAAATTACTTGTTAACTTTTCATTAAGAGTGATCGAGAGAACAATCTAAGTATTAATTAAATTATATACTTGGCATATTTTTCGGACGAGATGTCCGGTGAATCTTCGCCCCTACATTTCTCCAAGTCGATCTCACTGCAAGAACCACCCACAAAATCATTACCATCGACGTCATTCTAATCGTCGTTTGTAAAGAAAAGTGATTTTCCAAATAAATTGGAATCTTTAATTTAAAAAATGTTTATAATAAGTCTATGTCATTTATCATATGAGTTTAATACATACATTACTTATTAATATTATTATTAAAAGAACACAGGTAGATTAAGTTTCAACTAAGCTTAAGTGTTTGATAGCATAAACTTCAAATTAATGGAGTTAATCAAGATTGGGAAGGCATGCACAATTAATACATTTTAAATTGAACCGTCTATTCTTGGAGGTCAAACAAAAACTTATGCTCAAACTTAGGATAAAAATATATTTTACTCCCAATGGAATGAGTATAAAAGTTGGATGAAGATAAAATATTACTCCAAAAGCAATGTGGTGGACAAGTACAATGATTGGAGATGGGAAATGCCAAGTTTTTTAGAATGGTTAAAGCGCAGATTGTGGGAACTTTGAGACTGACAGATAGACAAGTGAATATGAACATTAGAAAGAAGAAACCAAAAATTAAAAAAAAAAAAAAATCTAAATCTAATGCATATGATCCCATCAATCTTCCTTTCCAGAATCCAAATTTATCACTTTGGTCAATTTCCCTTTCCAATCTCAATACTTTTCTAACATCATCATTCACTTCAATTATGTATCCACCAATCATTTGCATCCTCTTGTAAGAGAGATTTTTTTTTTTTTTTTTGATAAAGGGAGAAATTTTGTTAGTACTTTGATTTTGCTTTCTTTCATGATCTACGATTTTACAATCTTTACAACGATTTAATCTTTATAGTAAAAAATTATGTATCATTTGAAAATCAACCTCTACAGTGAAAAATCTTGAAATGACCTAGATTTAACATGATAGTCACTTGAATCTCATCTGCCACATTTATTTTATTTGTGCACACATGACCTTTATTTATTATTATTATTTTTTTAGTTCAACAAACGTGGAGGTGAGAAATTTTCAACCATTGGGAAAACTAATTAGTGCCTTCCTTAATTTACTAAATTAAGTTATGCTCCAATTACCACGTGACCTTTTTATTTTTAAACACCATTTGATCCATGTAACTGTAACTTTAAACCTCTGTAACATTTATTAAATAATTACACATTTCAAACTAGACAAGGGCAAAATTATTACACATTTAAAACAAAATTTGTACATAATATCAAATTAAAGAGACTAAATTGATAAATATTATAGTTTAGGGACTAAACCATCACTTTTCTGGAGAATAGGATGCTTTTAATCTATAAACCTCTAGATTTGTGCATAATTGCTGAATTGGGATGTCAGAGTAGAAGACTTCAGCTAGAAGCAAACCATCGAGTTTGCTTATTGTTAGCAAATGGACAAAAATCTGGTTGCCTCACAATGAACATTTGATCCCCAACTTTATCATCGGTGTCCTTATTTCTGTGCCATGTCCATAGAGCCCAAGTCTCATTCTTCACCTGTCATTCCATCACATTTAAATTAATAAATAAACATTTCACATCTTTTTTATTTTGTCGGTATTTTATGATATAATAAAACGTCTATTAACCTCTCTTGTTGACGTCAAACCATTCGATATGAAAAAATCGAACATCGCAAAAGGTCATGCTAATTCATTCATATCTCAAACATAATTCTAAATAATGTTGGGAAAAGTTTGTAAGGCTTGTGTTTCAAGGCTCATATAAGGTAAATTAGAATTTTTAATTTGAAATTTTTACCTCTTTTAGTCATAAGAGGCTTGTTTATGGATTGAGACTTGGAGTACCTTATGTCTCGAGTAATGGTTAGAGAATCTCAATCTGAGCATAGTTCAACTAATTTAAACACCTATATCTAATGGAAAGAACGTAAGTTCGAATCTCCACCTCACTTAACTTCGAAAAAAAAAAAAGGAACTAATGACGAGAGAATATAATTAAATTAATTTGCTACCTATTCTACAAAAATATGGAACTTAGGCATGTAATGCTAATACAATATGAGTTGTGCTAATACACTCCTTACTATTTAGGACTGGAAAACTAGTTTTTTTTTTCTTTGGTTATTTTACAATTTACTTTGTAACATTTTTTAATTATACATTTTCTTTATCCATGTTAAAATAAGTTGATGATAAACTTATCCGACATAAAACTTAGTCAGTTGCAGAAGTTACCTTTATTCATTTTTGTTGGTCAATGTTATAGAAATTATTCTCAAGAAATCGAAATAGAGACAGAGATAGAGATAGAAACCTCGAGAGTTCCATGGCCAAAGCTAGCTTCTCTAAAGGCACTGAAATCAGGTTGGCGGTCCCAACAGAAGTTACCCTTTGCGGGTCCACTGGTGAAATTTGAGGCACAAATGTTACCATCATTTGCTGGAGAATGCTTTGGATATCGGCAGTTGCCTGCTTCATCTGCATGCTCCACAGCCATCTTCTCTCTGTTCCCTCCATCTCCTATTGTTATGTACACTGGACCACATGGGTCTAGTCTATAATTGTACACCCGATTCGACCTCTCGTACGCATGCACCTATTCACGTCGTCATTTCAACGTTACTTATGCATGAACTATTTTTCAGGATTCATTTCGTAACACTCTTGTTTCTAGTACTGTTTCTTGTTTTTAGTTGCAATTTCTCCGTGAAAAGGGAAATGAAGACTTACATGTCCACTGAAGACAATGTCTACGCCATAAGAATAAAGCAGATCCTCCATCTCCAACCTCATACATTCTGCCTCTCTGTAGTGAGCTTTGTAAGAACTATACCATGGAGGATGCCATGTTGCCACCAGCCATGGAGTTACCCATCTGTCAACATTAGCCAAGTCTTGCTCCAGCCATTTATACTGAGCCCCTGTAATAATTACAAAAAAATAAAATTATAGATTAAAAAAAATATATGGTCAAATATTAAATTCTTTTTTTTTTACAATTATAATGAAAGAAAAGGAAATTGCACCTGATTTCTTATAGTCAGCATATGCACCAAGCATGATAAAATGGATACCCCCAGCATTAAAGGAGTAGTAAAATGTGGAAAAAGATCCACTTTCTTCTGATGGGAATGCAAATCTTGAACTGTAAGCTACAAATTTATGACCTCCAACTTGTTCTTCTAATTCATGGTTTCCTTCCACCACCATCATTGGAACTTTAGAAACAAAACTCTGCATATATCTGTAAATTTATAACCAAAAAACAAAAATGTGATTTGCTCTCCAATATAAGTATATAGGATTGTGAACAATATTAATTAGAAGATTGTTGGGAATGCAAACAATGTCACCCGCATCAATCTTTTGGGTGAAACAAAAAGCGTACCTTCCCCAGAAATCCCAACGAGGCTGATAGGTCTCGTGGATCGGAGTATCGGAAAACGTGCAAGAATAGCAGTCAGTACCAGTGCCATTTGTGAGGTACATATTTGCATAACTGATGTCACCAATTATGAGAAGAAGGTCAGGCTTATGGCTCATCATGTGACTCAGTGTGGCGGTGGTATTGTATGTGAGCCCAAGATCTCCCACAATAGCTATTCTATTTGGATAGCTCCCGCGGTTAGAAACAGGCATGCTTTTAAACGAATAAATGTCACTCATTCCAATGGATGGATCTCCACATCTGTAATAGTACACTTTCTGTGCCTTCAACCCTAAATATCAACACACAAAAAGAGAAGTCAAAAAAACAAAATTTATGTTTGACGACACGTGGGGCTAGAGTTTCAAACCTCCAACTTTTGGTCAAATACCTCAACTAATGAACTATATATATTCAGTAATACTTTCTTGGTAAAATATACGTAATATGGTCTTTGGTTTTCTATATAGCTCTCAATTTGGTCCTTAAATTTTTTACTCTTAAAATTTCTCCGTAAAAAAGTTATAGTTAAGAAGTTGATGGATATCATTAAATTGTTGTTTTCTTAATATATTTGGACATACGAAGAACGTGTCACTCGGATGCTATGATACATGAAATCTGAACAACCTCAACAAAATAAATCGTTTTATCAAGTGGTTTGCTCACGGGTCAAAATATGTTAATAAAACATTAATTTTACTATCTAAGTATATAAATAATATAAATTAATATTAAATGGATCCGTTCAACATTCTAGTCAGCATTGTATTAGGGTTTTTAATGGTTCGGTTATTGTCAGGGGTAAAAGTATAATACTTTGAAAGCTGGCTAGGAATAAATGGAAAAGAAACTAAAAACTTAGAGGTAAAAAAGTAATGTTTTGAAACCTAGGAATTAAATGGAGATTAAACTAAAAAATCATAGGTAAAAGTGTAACATTTTGAAGTCTAAGATCCTTATGAAACTAAAGTTAAAACTCATGGAACAAAAGGATATTTTCTCAAAATAAATGTAAAAAGTAAAAAATTCAAAATTCAAAATTATTTATAATATATCTAAAATAAAATAAAAACAGAAACGGAACGAAGCGAGTACCTGAAAGACGAACATGGTGGATAATTCCAGAGGTGTAATTCTGGAGGCCTTCAAAAGGGTAAAGTTGATTGTATACCATGGAATAGCCAGTTGCTTGACTGGTCAACGATGTTTTTAATCGCCCAAAATGAACAACGCTCGAAATAGTTTTAGGATCTAAAGGCTTAATGTCGTTACCAATCTGATATTCCCCTGCACATCCCATTCACAATACCTTAAATATTTAAAAAACATATACCTGCCAAGCTCAATCTTAATAGTTCCATGTTGATGATTTTAATAATATGGGATAATTATTTAATTGTTTTTGCTATTTTAATTAAGCCAAATAGAGTGGTCCAAATTATGTTTAATTTTAATAGTATGGGATGAAATTAGAAATAAATAAGTTTGTGACTCCGCAGCAAGCTGGTTTTCATACTTTTTATAAAAATTATAAAAATAATATATCTAAACTTAGAAAATTAGAAAATGTTCGAGATATATAGTCGAAGAAGGACGTAAGAAATGTTAGAGTTATCCACCATTGTGGAAAAGAAAAAATCTAGCTAGTATTAAATAAGTTGGACAACTATGAAAAACAACCATCATATAAATCTTATTTTAGTCTTTTTAACTTTTTAAAGTTTTTTCATTTTTTCATCTCTTGTATTTTCGGTATATCATTCTTATCTCTAAAATTTTAAACTTAACTATGGTGACTAAATTTTGTAATATCTATCTTAGTCCAAAATTTAAAAAAACAATCCCTTTCATTCTTATAACTATTTTGTTTTTTAAGATAATTTCAAATATGTGTGTATTTATCATGTTGCTATTAGTCAAATAGAGTTTTTTTTTTTTTCAAGGAGTCAAATAAATTGGATGGAATGAAATTAAGTGAAAATTAATAATAATAACTAAAATGATTTCTCAAAAGTTCAAAAATTAAACTAAAACTTTCAAAAACATCCCACCAAAATAGAAAACATGAACCTAAATAATATTAATTAAGAAAGTAAAGATATAAGTCAAAACGAGCATAGCTCAGTGCTAATTGACATATACCTCCAACCAAGTGGTTGTGAGTTCGAATCCCCTCCCCAACATGTTATATTCAAAAAAAGAAAAAAAAAAACATTATATACGTTAAACGTTAGTATAAGAGATAATCGGTGTTAATTATTAACGACCTTAGAACAAATGTCCACACATTTTTTCAATGCAACACCTTCAATATCTGGGGTAAATTTTAATGTCAATTTATCATTAGTCTAGTTCGGTGTCATCTATTCTACAGTTGTTGAGCTCAAAAAAACAGAAGAAAAAAGAAATTAATGAGAGGAAGAAAACATGAACCTGTAACCCAAGAAATCCAAACAGAATCATAATCAACTGATAGCGAGACGGCGATCTGCTCCGGCAGGAAGCCGCTAACCCGGCGCCGAAGTCGAGGATCATCGGCGGGCAAATCGACGGCGTGACCACGGAGGCCGGCATGAAACGGCGCCGTTCGGGGCTCGAAAGGGCCGTCCAAAGTGGTCGGAATTTTGGCCTGAGACAAACCTGCAAACGCCGCCGCCGCCGCAGCCACCGCCACCAATGCTGCCAAAACAGACGCCGGATTATTCTCTTTCATGAATTCAGCAAATATCTAACGAAGCTTTGCAGAAATTTAATTGATTGCTACTTTCTTTTTTTTCTTGTGGATATATTTATAGCATCTGGGTTTTGGTGTGATATCTATTTGGACATCCGCTCCCGATGGGGATGGAAGTATATTCTATTCCGGGATTGGATAATGCTTCAAAGGAGAAATTGAATCTCAACCTGACTTTTTAGGACAAATTTTGAGATTAATTCACTTTTCTATAAAGTGTTTGATTATAAGCCATCTTTCTGTTTGGTTCACACTTTTTAAATTGATTTTGATTTTAATATAATAAAAAAAAGTTATATCATTAATGTTTGTTTTTAAAAGTGATTTTAGATTCATAGAATTAATAACAGAAAATGCATAACATTTTTTAAGGGAAAAAAGTAAAAGAGAGTGAGAGATAAAAGCTATGGAGGGAGGAAAGACTGTTAGAGAGATCAAAAATTTAAGAGTGAAA